TAACGAGGCCGAGGCGGAAAGCCGACCGCAGGAACGGATGATTCCCTGCTGGTCCATGAATGGGTTTAGGTTGATGATCGTGCTGCCGGATGCCACCTTCTGCCCGCTGGACAGGGCGCGGTACTCTTGGTAGTACTCGGTCCGCTGGGTGCAGACCACCAGTCTACGATGGGCCGCCATCAGCTCCGGATGGGTGACCTCCTTGGACAGCGGAGCGGGAAGCTTCTGGCAGCGCAGCACAAAACGTTGGACATACGCCATCACCCTGAGCGCTCTCCCAAAGTCGGAGAAACGCTCGAGGAAATCGGGAGCTTTGGGCAATGTCGCGAGATGGGTCCGGATAGGACGCTGCTCGAGGGTGGTCGTCGAGGTCGTCCAATTGCACGCTGGCTTGCGAAGCCAGGCCAACACAATAGTGGAGTCGGTCCAGCACGCCGTTGGATAGCTGCTGAGTGGAAGGTGGGGCAGGATAGCTGCACACATGTCCGCTAGGAGGACGGCACCGCACAGTTCCAAGCGCGGCAGTGACACCGTCTTGACTGGCGCCACCCTGGTCTTGGATACCAGGAGATGGACCTGCACTTGCCTGTGCGTCTCGACGCGCAAGTAGATGGCCGCCCCGTATGCCTGCTGCGATGCGTCACAAAAACCGTGGTACTGAAACGTACCTTGTGGGCGAAAATGAATCCACCGTGGGATCCGGATCCGGTCTAGCGTGGGATAACTCCGCAGGAACTCGTTCCACCTCTGCTGCAGCTCGGAGGGGAGCGGATCATCCCATCCGATTCCGCTGATCCAGATTTCTTGCATAAAAATCTTGGAACGGACAATAATTGGCGCCAGCCATCCGGCGGGATCGAACAGCCTGGAAATCTGGGCCAGGACCTCCCGTTTGGTGAATGAGGACCCTTCCTCCAAAGCGGATGCGATGAACAGGAACTCATCGTCGGTGGCCTTCCAGCGGATGCCCAGCGTCTTAGTCATGCTGGCATCCTCAATGTCTAAGAAGTCGGCGCGCAGCAGATGCTCTGGTGGGATGCCGCGAAGAATGTCCTTGTTGTTGGCGACCCACTTGCGCAGCGGGAAACCTGCTGCGCTGAAAGCCGCTCGTATCTCTCGTATGGATGAGAGTGCTTCCTGCTTCGTATGTGCTCCGGCCAGGACGTCATCCACATACATGAAGTCCGTGAGGACCCGGCTGGCGAGCGGATACTGCGCCTTGGAGTCTTCGGCAAGCTGCAGGAGCACGCGGATGGCCAGGAAAGGCGCACAGTTCACCCCGAAAGTGACTGTTTGGAGCTCGAAATCCCGCAAGTCACCTGCCGGATCGCGGAACAGGATTCTCTGGAACCGGGTATGCGCGGGGTCGACCAGAATCTGCCGATACATCTTAGTGATGTCGGCACTGAAAACGTGCTGGAAAAAACGCCACTTCAACACCTGTAAAGTCAGGTCGGCCTGTAGGACGGGCCCCGTGTGAAGTACGTCGTTTAAGCTGTTCCCGTTGGACGACGGGCAGGATGCGCTGAAGACCACGCGGACCTTGGTCGTGGTGCTGTCCGGCTTCAGCACCGCGTGATGGGGCAGGTAAAAATTGGCGTTGTCCGTTGGAGGAGGGACAGGGCGCATGTGCCCTAAGTCGAGATACTCGTTGATGACTGCGTCATACTGCTCCTTCAACGAAGCGTTCCTAAGCAGCCGAGCCTCGTTCTTGAGGAACTGGGCCATCGCGATGGATCTAGAATGGCCTAGTTGAATGTCCTGGGGGTCCTTGAAAGGCAGCGAGACCGTGTATCTGCCATCCGGCCGCCGGCTGGTGGTCTGGACGAAAAGCTGTTCGCACACTGCGCCCGCTTCCTTCTCGCAACTCACCGGGATGTCCTCCACCTCCCAGAACTTGGTGAGCAGCTGATCCAAGGAAGGCTGTGTGCCTGCTGAAATGCGCGTGGTGAAGGAACGGATGGCCGTCTTCCTTGCCGCCGCTACTGGTCCGGTCAGAATCCATCCGAAAATGGTCTCCTGTGCCAGCAGCGAGCCGCAGACGTTTGGCCGGGTGCCGCCAAGCAGCACGGCAGGTAGTATGTCAGCGCCGATGAGCAAATCGATGGTGGCGCTTCGGAAAAAACACGGGTCTGCCAACGGCAGGTCAGGAAGATCTCTCAAGGTTTCGCTGGATATGGGAAACGATGGCAGGGCGCCTGCCAGTTGCGGCAGCACGTATGCCGCCGTCTCGACTTCGCGCCTCGGTTGTGAGGAAGATGCCAGCTTGACACTGCACACCTTGGTCGCGAGCCCAGATGTGGTCGCGTTCAGCCCCGATACCTGGGCCTGCACCTTCTGGAACGGCAGCCGAAGAGATCTGCGTAGGCGCTCTGAAACGAAAGTTCCCTCGAAGCCAGAGTCGATGAGCGCACGCGCGGCGTAGACGCTACCCAAATGGAGCACGTTCACTATAGCCGTGCCGAGGAGGACGCCCTGAACGCTGCTGCTGAAATAGCTCTGAACATTCGACGAAGTGGACTGTAATGGATTGCAATGTGGAGGGGGAACTGATGCTGAGGGCGCCGATGGAAGGGAGGGTCCACGGTGTAGGAGAGTGTGGTGGCGCCCCTTGCACGTAGCGCAGTTGTACTGGCTTGTGCAAGCGTTTATTTGGTGCCCTCGGGCGAAACAATTCATGCAAAGCTTCTGATTCTTGATCACCTTGCATCGGTCCTTGACCGACATTTGCAGAAAACGCGGACACAGGCGCACGGGGTGGTTCTCCTTCGAGCAAAGATTACAGGTCTGCGGACTGTTGCGGACCTTCGTCTCGAAAGAGTTGACTTTCCTCGCAGCCGGCTCCTTTTGAGCTGGCTTTGGAATGCGGGTGCGGAGGCCCAGGGTCGCATCATTTATCGCTTCCAATGTGCGATAGCGATCCGAGAGGAACTGATTCATGTCGCTCCAGGGCGGAATTTCGGACTTGTCCTTTACCGACTGCTCCCATAAGGAAAGGGTAGCTGGAGGAAGCTTGGTGGCGCAGAAAAACACCAAAAGGCAATCCCAGTCCTGGGTGCCAATCTTGGCATTCTGGACAGCCGTTAAGCACCCTTGGATTGTGCTCTGGAGCTCCTTGATGGCGATGCCACACTCCGAAAGAATAGGCTGGAGGTTGGCGAGGACCTTGAGCTGACTGTTGACCAACAATCGCTTGTTTTCGAAACGCTCAGTTAGGTTTTTCCAAGCTGAGGCGAAACCGTCGTTGGTCAGGGGGGAATTACGCACGATGTCCTTCGCTTCGCCGCGAGTTTTGGAGAGGAGGTGGTAAAGTTTTTCCACCTCTGTCAATCGCTGGTTGCGAATGTACAACGCGGTGAAGAGGTCCCTGAACGTGGGCCACTTCAGGTAGTCGCCAGTGAAAACCTCGGTGTCCACTGGCGGAAGGATACAGCCCCTGACTGGGGGCTCGGGACTTGGAGCGGGAGCGCTGCTCCGCGCGGACGCGTCTTGTATCCGCGTGGTGAGCTGAGTGGCGCACCGCTCATAGACGCGGTAGCAGTGATCATACTTCATCTGTAAGGCCTGCTTGTCGGTATCGCTGGACTCTGATTGGCTCAGAGCCCGGAAACAGCGCCGACGCTCTTGCTGAACCTGTTCCCACAGGGCTTTGACTTGGTCCAGTTGGATCTGCTGCGTGACAAGCGTCACGGCTGGGTCGGACGAAGAAACTAGTGCCTCAAAATGGCACAGGTCATCGCTGACCGAAATGAATTCGTCCAACACCATTTTGATCGTTTTGGAAGCGATCCGAACAGCTGCTCGAGTAGACGGAACGGGTTTCGCAATTCTGGGCACCCTCACAGAGAGCTGTGGCGAACAGCTGGTCTTCCTTGGAGAAGGAGACGAAAAAGCGTTCACGGACAAATGTGATTTGGGGCTGCCCTTCTTGGCGGTGGAAGGCGAAGGTTTTTTCAACAACAAGCGTGAACCCGGACTGCTCCCCTTGGAGGTAGAGGGCGAAACCTTCTTCAACGACGGTGGTTTCGGAATAACCCCTTTTGACGTCGACGGCGAAACTGTTTTTACAAGGGACGGTGTCGGAACCGAACTGGATTGCGCGTCAGAAGAAGGAACGGCCAAATGCTGAGAAGTGGATGGGGCGACCGAGGTAGACGGATGGACTAAATGCTTCTTCGTGTCCTCCTCGCCTTCACCGGGCATACTAGGCTCTCACACGAGCCTGCTAGAGTGGGCCCACTTGAGGCAGGTCGGGTATGAGTCCGCTGGAAAACGGCGTTGCTGACCGCTTATGGCGCGCAAAATTCTGCGACAAGTTTTATTAACTGGCTTATGCTAGCTGGAGGTGCTGAAAACTTGTCGGACACAAGCTCACAAGAATATGTGTAGCCACCGAAATAAAAGAGAAAATGGATTTCGTTTTTTTCTCTATGTTCGTTTTATTAAAATTAATTAAACACCGCGGCAGCAATAAATATATGTGCAATTAAGTTGCTGGACAGCTGCAGGCGGTGATATGCGACGAAGAATCCAAAAATCCAACAGAAAAAAAACCCAAAAATAAATATAAATTAAAGCTGGATAAAATAACTGCCAGCTAGAGGTGCTGGAAAGGTTCGGGAAAAAGTCCACAAGGATATGTGTATTCACCGAAAAAATTTGGATTTATTTTTATTTGATTTTATTAAAGTTGCTGAAAAATCGCAGCAAAAACTACACGCAATTACGTTGATGGAGAAAGACCAGCTGGAGACGCTGGTATGCGACAAGGAATCCCAAAGAAACATAAAAAAAAACAATAATAAATTTTATTTAATTTTATTAAGTTACTTTTTGGGATAAAGTAACTGTATTTAATTTTATTAAGTGATTTCCGGGATAGCGGCCCGCCAGTAGCAATTGGTCACAGTGATTATCGAAATTAATAATTCAGCTGTGACTCGTTACCGTGACCAAGTTTCTGGTCACACTCGAATTTCGATGATTGTAGTTTCCGATAACTGATTTTACACAAGTGTCATCACTTGTTTACCTTTAATGGGTAAGTAAAAATTTTAAGTGCAAAAACGCAATATGTTTTAATTTTCGCACAAGCGCCGACGCTGGATATCGCGCGGGCTATAAGGAATACCAACTGGAGTGTTGGCACGTAGCGGGGAGTCGTGGACCGACCGGTGAGTGTATAGGATTGTGTTAGTAATTAAATATATGAGTGTAAATATGTTTGTGTGTAAATATTATGATTCGTATATTTAGTGCATGCAGATGTGTTTATAGCGGACTCAAATGTATATAGATATATATATATATATATATATATATATATATATATATATATATATATATATATATATATATATATATATATATATATATATCAGCATATGCGGACGTACGTTTGTTTCCGCTGCCGATATATGAAAACGTGTATAGATTTATACACAGCGGCTGTATATATGTGTATGTATGTATATAAAGTGCATGTATATGAGCATATGTGGAAATATGTCTATTGTGTAATGTGCATGTATATAAAGCATATGTGGAAATATGTCTATTGTGTGACGGACCATGCAAAAACTATGTGGTGTGAATTGTGCATTAGGAACGTGCAGGTAAAACAGGTGTGTTTCCCACTGGACACTTGTTGCATATGGGAAAGAATATGCGCAAGTATGCCAAGACGCAAACGCAAACGGACGGAGTTCGGGTTGAACCTGCTAATTGTTGCACTTTACTTTTCGTTTAAGCGGACCAGCGCGGTACCGGCGTTAGACGAGATGAGGCCCTTGGATAAGGGACGGACAGCGGGATGCTGTTCCGTTGTGGGGGTCGGCGGACAGACCGACAGTGAACAAATATGGCGTAAGTATCGCGCCACAAGTAAATAGTTTACTTAGCTGCTTCTCCTCGCAGGTATCCAACGCCAGGAACAAGCTGGGGCGAACGGTCGTAGGCTGCACAGGACTTGGAAGGAACAGGAGGTGCACCTGAATATCCGGCTCGAAGGACAATGTTGGCGTGGGGCGTTGGGGATGAAAGTCCAAAACCGCAAGGGAAGTAAAATGGCGTCTGCTTTCCTTTTCACTGTGACGTGACTCGCACGTATATATATTCTCTTCACTTGTATGACAAATTTGAAACTAAACTTAACCTAATTGCAGTGGCGCTTAGCTGCCCATATGAAAGAGGGAGAGGCCGCCGACGCTAGCAGCGCTCTGCCAGCAGATGTTGCTGGCAAGCGTTGCCATGTCAATACTGGCAGAGTGCTGCCACATCAACAATCATAAATAAATGCACTAAAATTTCGATTCATCCTTAAGAATCAAATTCATGAAAAACCTATAAATTAAAATACTTAACAAATATTAGAGGAGTCACTAGGACTACAACTCTAATCATACTTATTTTTCTTCAACATGAGGCATCACCTCATTAAAAATAGATTCCGAAGGAAAGGAATATTTCATTTATAATCAAATATAAATGCACTATAAATTCGATTCATCCTTAAGAATCGAATTTATAAAAAATCTGTAAATAAATAAACTTAACAAATATTAGAGGAGTCACTAGGACTACAACTCTAATTATACTTACTTTCCTTCAACATGAGGCCTCACCTCATTAAAAATAGTTTCCGAAGGAAAGGAATATTTCATTTATAATCATAAATAAATTCACTATAAATATGATTCATCCTTAAGAATCGAATTCATAAAAAACTGTAAATAAATAAACTTAACAAATATTAGAGGAGTCACTAGGACTACAACTCTAATTATACTTACTTTTCTCCCTTCAGAGGCCTCATCTCATTAAAAATAGATTCCGAAGTAAAGGAATATTTCATTTATAATCAATTATAAATGCACTATAAATACGATTCATCCTTAAGAATCGAATTAATAAAAAATCTGTAAATAAATATACTTAACAAATATTAGAGGAGTCACTAGGACTACAACTCTAATTATACTTACTTTTCTTCAATATGAGACCTCACTTCATTAAAAATAGATTCTGCACTATAAATTCGATTCATCCTTAAGAATCGAATTCATAAAAAACTGTAAATAAATAAACTTAACAAATACTAGAGGAGTCACTAGGACTACAACTCTAATTATACTTACTTTTCTCCCTTTCAGAGGCCTCATCTCATTAAAAATAGATTCCGAAGTAAAGGAATATTTCATTTATAATCAATTATAAATGCACTATAAATACGATTCATCCTTAAGAATCGAATTCATAAAAAATCTGTAAATAAATATACTTAACAAATACTAGAGGAGTCACTAGGACTACAACTCTAATCATACTTATTTTTTCTTCAATATGAGGCCTCACCTCATTGAAAATAGATTCTGAAGGAAAGGAATATTTCATTTATAATCAAAAATAAATGCACTGCAATTTCGATTCATCCTTAAGAATCGATTTTGTAAAAAATCTGTAAATAAATTAATTCAACAAATATTAGAGGAGTCACTAGGACTACAACACTAATTATACTTACTTTTCTTCAATATGAGGCCTCACCTCATTGAAAATAGATTCTGAAGGAAAGGAATATTTTATTTATAATCATAAATAAATGCACTAAAATTTCGATTCATCCTTAAGAATCAAATTCATGAAAAACCTGTAAATTAATATACTTAACAAATATTAGAGGAGTCACTAGGACTACAACTCTAATCATACTTATTTTTCTTCAACATGAGGCATCACCTCATTAAAAATAGATTCCGAAGGAAAGGAATACTTCATTTATAATCAAATATAAATGCACTATAAATTCGATTCATCCTTAAGAATCGAATTTATAAAAAATCTGTAAATAAATAAACTTAACAAATATTAGAGGAGTCACTAGGACTACAACTCTAATTATTCTTACTTTCCTTCAACATGAGGCCTCTCCTCATTAAAATAGTTTCCGAAGGAAAGGAATATTTCATTTATAATCATAAATAAATGCACTATAAATATGATTCATCCTTAAGAATCGAATTTATAAAAAACCTGAAAATAAATTAATTCAATAAATATTAGAGGAGTCACTAGGACTACAACTATAAGTATACTTACTTTTCCCCCTTTAGAGGTCTCACCTCATTAAAAATTGATTCCGAATGAAAGAAATATTTCATTTATAATCATAAATAAATGCACTATAAATATGATTCATCCTTAAGAATCGAATTCATAAAAAAACTGTAAATAAATATACTTAACAAATATTAGAGGAGTCACTAGGACTACAACTCTAATTATACTTACTTTCCTTCAACATGAGGCCTCACCTCATTAAAATAGTTTCCGAAGGAAAGGAATATTTCATTTATAATCATAAATAAATGCACTATAAATATGATTCATCCTTAAGAATCGAATTTATAAAAAACATGTAAATAAATTAATTCAACAAATATTAGAGGAGTCACTAGGACTACAACTCTAATTATACTTACTTTCCTTCAACATGAGGCCTCACCTCATTAAAATAGTTTCCGAAGGAAAGGAATATTTCATTTATAATCAAATATAAATGCACTATAAATTCGATTCATCCTTAAGAATCGAATTTATAAAAAACCTGTAAATAAATAAACTTAACAAATATTAGAGGAGTCACTAGGACTAAAACTCTAATTATACTTACTTTCCTTCAACATGAGGCCTCACCTCATTAAAATAGTTTCCGAAGGAAAGGAATATTTCATTTATAATCATAAATAAATGCACTATAAATATGATTCATCCTTAAGAATCGAATTTATAAAAAACCTGTAAATAAATTAATTCAACAAATATTAGAGGAGTCACTAGGACTACAACACTAATTATACTTACTTTTCTTCAATATGAGGCCTCACCTCATTAAAATAGTTTCCGAAGGAAAGGAATATTTTATTTATAATCATAAATAAATGCACTAAAATTTCGATTCATCCTTAAGAATCAAATTCATGAAAAACCTATAAATTAAAATACTTAACAAATATTAGAGGAGTCACTAGGACTACAACTCTAATCATACTTATTTTTCTTCAACATGAGGCATCACCTCATTAAAAATAGATTCCGAAGGAAAGGAATATTTCATTTATAATCAAATATAAATGCACTATAAATTCGATTCATCCTTAAGAATCGAATTTATAAAAAATCTGTAAATAAATAAACTTAACAAATATTAGAGGAGTCACTAGGACTACAACTCTAATTATACTTACTTTCCTTCAACATGAGGCCTCACCTCATTAAAATAGTTTCCGAAGGAAAGGAATATTTTATTTATAATCATAAATAAATGCACTAAAATTTCGATTCATCCTTAAGAATCAAATTCATGAAAAACCTATAAATTAAAATACTTAACAAATATTAGAGGAGTCACTAGGACTACAACTCTAATTATATTTACTTTTCTTCAATATGAGGCCTCACCTCATTAAAAATAGATTCTGAAGGCAAGGAATATTTCATTTATAATCAAAAATAAATGCACTACTATTTCGACTCATACTTAAGAATCGATTTTGTAAAAAACCTGAAAATAAATTAATTCAATAAATATTAGAGGAGTCACTAGGACTACAACTATAAGTATACTTACTTTTCCCCCTTTAGAAGTCTCACCTCATTAAAAATTGATTCCGAATGAAAGAAATATTTCATTTATAATCATAAATAAATGCACTATAAATATGATTCATCCTTAAGAATCGAATTCATAAAAAACCTGTAAATAAATATACTTAACAAATATTAGAGGAGTCACTAGGACTACAACTCTAATTATACTTACTTTCCTTCAACATGAGGCCTCACCTCATTAAAATAGTTTCCGAAGGAAAGGAATATTTCATTTATAATCATAAATAAATGCACTATAAATATGATTCATCCTTAAGAATCGAATTCATAAAAAACCAGTAAATAAATATACTTAACAAATATTAGATGAGTCACTAGGACTACAACTCTAATTATACTTACTTTTTTTCAATATAAGACCTCACCTCATTAAAATAGATTCCGAAGGAAAGGAATATTTCATTTATAATCATAAATAAATGCACTAAAATTTCGATTCATCCTTGAGAATCAAATTCATGAAAAACGTATAAATTAATATACTTAACAAATATTAGAGGAGTCACTAGGACTACAACTCTAATCATACTTATTTTTCTTCAACATGAGGCATCACCTCATTAAAAATAGATTCCGAAGGAAAGGAATATTTCATTTATAATCAAATATAAATGCACTATAAATTCGATTCATCCTTAAGAATCGAATTTATAAAAAATCTGTAAATAAATAAACTTAACAAATACTAGAGGAGTCACTAGGACTACAACTCTAATTATACTTACTTTTCTCCCTTTCAGAGGCCTCATCTCATTAAAATAGTTTCCGAAGGAAAGGAATATTTCATTTATAATCAAATATAAATGCACTATAAATTCGATTCATCCTTAAGAATCGAATTTATAAAAAACCTGTAAATAAATAAACTTAACAAATATTAGAGGAGTCACTAGGACTAAAACTCTAATTATACTTACTTTCCTTCAACATGAGGCCTCACCTCATTAAAAATAGTTTCCGAAGGAAAGGAATATTTCATTTATAATCATAAATAAATGCACTATAAATATGATTCATCCTTAAGAATCGAATTTATAAAAAACCTGTAAATAAATTAATTCAACAAATATTAGAGGAGTCACTAGGACTACAACACTAATTATACTTACTTTTCTTCAATATGAGGCCTCACCTCATTAAAATAGTTTCCGAAGGAAAGGAATATTTTATTTATAATCATAAATAAATGCACTAAAATTTCGATTCATCCTTAAGAATCAAATTCATGAAAAACCTATAAATTAAAATACTTAACAAATATTAGAGGAGTCACTAGGACTACAACTCTAATCATACTTATTTTTCTTCAACATGAGGCATCACC